GGGGGGCTCGCCCGGGGGGAGCGCGGCTGCGGCAGTGCCCCCCTGCCCGTGCCCGGCACCGCTCTCCCGCGGGGCTGCGCCCGCTTGGGCGTTGGCCGGCCCCGGCTGTGCGTGGGCAGGGGTGCAGGCGCGGCGCTGGGGCTGGGGTCAGGGCCAGGCTCCTGCAGCCCGGGCGTTGCCAGCTCCGGCAGGCGGGTCCGGGAGATGTTTCCCCGGCACGGTGTCATGTCATGAATTGCGCTGCGCAGCCCGTTCACAGCCATTGCTTTCCGTCGCCCCCGGGAGGTGGGTGCCGACCCCGGTAGGCTCCTGGCCAGGCCAGGGGGTTGGCAACTCTGCCCCCGACCCACGGGCAGGGCGCCGCGGGGATGCCCGGCCAGCTGCGGGGACATTTCCCTTTCCCTTTCCCTCTGTGCTATTTTAGGAACTGCTGCGCTCATAAACAAACAGTGACGCGGTTGCTCTTTGCACAGGCTGCGCTGGGCTTGGCTGGCGCGGCAGCAGGCCATTGGCGCCTCGCGGGCACCCACGCTGGCGCAGGCTGCGAAGCGTCCACCTGCTCGCTAACGCGCCGGGGGCGCAGGTGCCCTCGCGGAGGCAGGGCGGCACCTGGGGTATCGGGGGCCTTGTCGTAGCTCCGCGCCCGTCTGAGCTCCTCCGTCCTCTCTGTGTGCGCGGGGAGGAGGGGCAGCAGCATCTGCTCGGACGAGCGAGAGCAGGTGCAGCCTTCCCAGGCTCTCGGCCCTTCAGAGCTCGGCTGCAAAGCCAGGCGCGGGGACAGGTGCAGCTCGGACAGTCCCCAGCCCTCCTGGGCAGCAACGCCGGCTTCTCTCCCCTTCCCAGGGAACGCGCCATGGTCAATGAGACTCCCAGCAGCGGAAGCTCCGGCTCCCGGTCGGATGGCGGGAGCAGCAGCGGGGGCGAGAGCTCCAAGGACAGCTCGCGATGCTCCACCCCCGTCCTGGACGCCGAGCGCCACGAGCGCCTGCGGGAGAAGATGCGCCGGCGGCAGGAGTCCGGGGACAGGTGGTTCTCGCTGGAGTTCTTCCCCCCGCGCACTGCCAACGCTGCTGTCAACCTCATCTCCAGGTGTGGCCCCCAGCAGGCAGGGCAGCTTGGACTGGGGAGGGGAAGGGAAACAGCCTGTCTCCCGGCCAGGCAAACGAGCCTGGGA